TCAAGTCTGAATACAATAGTGAAAGATTATTGCTTACTTCGTATTGACTCGTAAAGGCACATGTACGTTTTGTTGTTCCGTGTGTGCTTCCAATATATGCTATTCATTGTTCATACTATCCTTTTGTACTCTGGTGTTTGTGGGATATTGTGAACCTTTGCCAGAAATGGTGAAGGGAGTTATGCATAGAGCCTGAGATACTCTGCCGGCTCTTATGACTTCACTCAAACGTGGGTGGATGGAGCTCCCAGACGTGGGAGACTTATGTTTGGTGGTCATTCAGAAATGGATGTACCATATTATGTTATGGTCCCACTTCACCTTCTGTATGTTTGATATGGTATCCAGAGCTTTGGTTATGTGTTTTTATACATGCTTTGGATATGAATGATATGAATGCAACGTCAAATTCGACATTTGAGCTTCTGTTTCGTATTCATCTTTGAAATGCTCCAAAATGGTCCATACGTTATTGATATATTCCGAAATGTTTCATTTATCATTGATATGCTCCGAAACATTTCGTACGCCTTTGATATGCTCCAAAATATTTCATTGTTATTGTTATGCTTCGAAATGTTCCATAGGTTGTTGATATGCTCCGGAACATTTCATATGCTATTGATATGCTCCAATTACTCTATGCTCCATTTGTATGAACCAATTATGTTTGATTGAAATGATATTTGTGATTCTACACCTAATGAGATTATGTCTATGAATTCTTATATTCTGCCTTGCATTATGAAACCTTATTTGTTTGAAAATTTCCCTCTTTTACCATGGATATGTTAGTCACTTCCTGAGCTTTATATGCTCACCCCGTTATTGTATAAATTTTTCAGGATAGCTTGTCGCTCGCTTAAATGTTAAGATTGGGCTGAGGCAGTGGAAAGCTAAAAGATTTTGGACAGATCTTTATTAGTATATATATGTTTTTGTTGTATAAGTACACTCTGCATCTAATGAAATTTGATTGAAGGCATTGGATAGCTTAATTGAAAAAGACTTTGACAGATTATTATAAATCTATTTGTGCTTGAATCCTTTCTTCATCGTAAATCAAAATTTTTATTAGGAATATCCGTAAAACATGTAACAGAAATTTACATTAATAATCTTCATAAATTACTCACATAGGATAAGGAGAATATTGACTGCAGACATTGTATTTACTTATTGATTAATTTTGATCAAGGACTGTGCAAAACCTTTCATCGACGTAATTGGGGACGGTGGAATCTAAACTTGTGGATTTTGTATAAGTTTAAAGGACCTCTCATGTGTAGGATTCTGGAATATTAAGTTTAATTCGTGTAATGATATGAACTTATGATAAACGTTGGTTTTGTGACTGTGTAGACTCCCATACTTGTGAATTTATGTTGTGGTTATTATTTTGGTGAGTTGAGTTCAGATTTTATAAATCATCGAACGATGTGTAGTATGTTTATGAACTGCACAGGGTTTATAAATTTGTAGATTATAGAGGTGAAATTTTAATCTAAATATTTTCTTAGTGACCTCAAATGTGTGTTTGGATCCTTGATGGATTTGTGTTGAAAAATTTTAATATTATCGATAATATTTTGAGGGGCGTGACAAATGTAGCTACTAGTATTATAACTATAGGGAGTATATCTAGTGAGTTCTCTATTAGTATAGGATTATATCAAATATCTGCATTAAGTCCTTATCTTTTCACATCGATAATGAATGAACTTATTAATCCTTTACAAGATAGACCTCCTTTATGTATATTATTTACTGATGATATTGTCCTAGTTGATAAGAGCCTAAATGGAATTAATTATAAACTTGAGTTTAAATTAAGTATCACTGACTTAATATATGAGATGCAATTTTAGTAATACTAGGAATAGGTAGGATTGTATAGTTAAGTTGGATGGATAAGAAGTTCTTTAAGTAAAAGTCTTATGTATCTTCGATCAATTATTTAACAATATAGAGAGATTGATAAGCATATTATTCATAGAGTAAAACTAGAACGATTAAAATGGTGAGAGGCGTTAAGCATCTTGTGTGATTATCGGATACATTTGAGATTAAAAGAAAATTTTTATAAGACAATCGTGAGACCAATAATATTTTATGGTTCTATGTGTGGAACAGTTAAAAAATGATATATACAAAAAGTTTATTATCGATATGAGAATGTTGAAATGGATGTGTCGAGTTACTAAGAAAGTTCAAAAAAATATTTTTATTTATGAACAACTAAGTATTACATCGAATGAGATGAGAGAGAAACGTTTAAAATGGTATGAACATATACTTAGGAGACCTATGGTTGTGATAATTAGAAGAGGTAAAATGATTAATATTAGTGATATGAGAAAAAACAAAGAAAGACTTAAAATAACCTTAATAGAAACTATAAATAAAGAATTAAATAGTCTAAACTTAACTAAATAAATAACTTTTATATATCTCAATGGCGGCAAAAAAACTATTTAGTCAATCCCAAATAATTAAGACTTACAACTTTGTTGTGACGGAATATATATATATATATATATATATATATATATATATATATATTGAGCAGTATATCGAACGGTATACCGCTCGGTATATAGTATCATATCGTACCGAGTGAATGTCATAACTCTAGTACAGTACGATATTTCAATCCTTGCTGCACACAATAAAAAATTCTAATGACATACCTCATGTAGATGAGTCACTCATCAAACTTTGTGATTTGGTCTCAATGCCACTCTTCTCCTAGAAGTCATGCAAAAAAGGGAAAAAAATGATAAGCACTTAAGATATAAACAAAGAATAAAGAATTATAGAATAAATTCTCCATTGCTATGTGAAATTTTATATGGCATGACGAAACTTGAAACAAAATTAAGCCATTCACAATGTTTATAGACTCAACAAACCATGGCTAGGGAAGGATCTTTCCGGAATTTTCAAGTTGGGCTCCTCATGGCGACAAGCTCCTCAGCAGATGTTGGATGAATTCCAACGGTGACATCAAAATCTGCTTTTGTCAATCCAGCTTTTACAGCTATAGCAATCCCCTGAAGTATATGAAATTTAAGCCTGCTAAGCTAAAAGATAGAAGATACAAAGGGATGGAATTAAAGCAAAACAAAGAAACCTGTATAATCTTTGGTGAATCTTCCCCACACATGTGCACACCTAATACTTTATTTGTGTTTGCACACACAATAAGTTTCATAAACACCCAATCAGGCAGGCCAGAAAGCGTGGCCTTTAGAGGCCTGAAGTTGGCTGTGAAAATATCAACATCACCAACACTCTTGAGCAGCCTGCACCATTTTCGGATATTAGAGGGGAAAGAATATCTAATGCACACTTCAAAGAACAGTTATGACAGCAGAATTTGTCTCGCTTGCTCCTCGGTAAGACCAACTTGTCCAATTGGAGGCTGGGAAAATACAGCAGAGGGCACAGCTCTGTCATACACATGCAATCCACTAATAAGATATTATTTTGCACCGACAAACTACCCATTTAACTTTACATGCCCGAAAACTAAAACATACTGTTAGTGAGAGTTGATTCACAGTCTCAAAATGTAGAAGCATGAATTAATGTCTCACAAGAACACGTCATGCAAACTTAAGCTGCAACAAACAAATGCTCATCATCCATTTGCACCTATGCTTCTTACTTGGTTGACTAAGTGCATGGACACTCTTCATATCATATATTACCCATCAAACTAAGGATATATTTCCTTAAACCCTAAAAATAGTTTTTCAATTTACCCAACATAGCACAGGAAGCACCTGATCATAAGAAATTGAAATCAAAAGGTGCCATGAGTTACTCCACCATAGACTAATCTATTTAACAATACCAGGCCACTGCTTGCGATTGACAACCAGCAAATATGTTCATGACCTCGGGGCAGGTTCCACCTTATTAGATCTAGGAGGTTTATGGTTGTAAAAGGCAATCTTTGTAACACTCCGTTCAAGTACATTAAAAGAAATAAAAAAGAAAGTTATTTCCGATGGGGATAATTGTCAGCTTGTGGCAATGATGGACTTCACAAGCTAAGACAAAAGACATTATCGTACAGAATGGTTACCGTAACACTGAAATATGGAATTTTAAGCATGAAACCAATTTAATGGCTTAGTTGATATAGCTAATTTTTTAACACAAAATAGCAGGTTTATGCATCTTTTCCTCTTCGATGAATATAAATCTGTAAATCAAAATTGATTGTGTTCATCTTCTGTTGTAATTATTTCCATGTATTATTTAGAGGATTGTTATTTCTTACACAAGCTTCATCTATAAACCAGAGAGTAGATCCTACATTCCAAATAGCCTTTAGGTTGATAGTTGCCAATAAAATTTGGCAAAGTCCATCTTCCATGAAGCGTATATAAACTTTATTTTGCTGCATACCTGACCCATAGTATCAGGAGGTTGAATAATGACATTCTGCAAAACTAAAGACAAAGAAAAACAACACATCAACTTCTATGATATATGACAAGTAACGACAAAAAGTCAAGATAGTAGGTTGCAAAAGAAAATGATAATGATAAACAAATATTAGATTAGAGATGACTCTGGAGGCTCATTTAGAACAATTTAACTAGCTAGCTGACGTTGCTAGTGGAGATAATCTTGACAAAATGCTTATGCAAGAGAATACAGGGATTCTAAATATTCTCATCTTCTTGCAACATGCTTGTTTCACTAATCATAATCAGGCCATAGTTTACCAGACATCATTTCTTTCTAGAGCACTATCTACAAATTGCCCCTACAATGCTATAGATACAAATCTGTAATCTGGTTTTGTGGGTTCATTACCAAACACAGTTTCAGCAAATGCCCCTCCCTTCCATCAATGCAACAGGGGATGTATATAGGATAAAAGAAACAACAGAAACTTGTGCTGGCACATCTGCCTCCTGATTCTTGCAAATCATGCATACAATATACTTAGTAGAAAGCAGACTGAAAAAATGAACAACACTACACAAATATAAATTTTACCTGGCTTTCAGAAGCAAAAGAATTGTGAAAACTTCCAGATTGTTATAACCACGATCGACAAAGTCACCCTGGCAGTGATGTAGGCAAATTTTGAACCATACATTCATATTGGTATTCTTGCATAATAACATACATAAAAAAATCATCAATTTGCTTAAAATGAGAAGAACTTCACCATGAATATGTAATTTGTCTCAGGAACATGACCTCCAGTTTGAAAAAGTTTCATTAGATCATGAAACTGGCCATGGATGTCACCACAAACAGTCACAGGGCTATTAACCGGTTGTACATTTGACTCCTCAACAAGAATCTCCTTAACCTGTTTACAATGAATATAATAGTCCAGAAAATTTTAAATTAAATTCTGACTTACAGAAACATAAAGTCTACCATTTACAGAAGACAGATTTAAGGATAAATTCCGATTCACGCGGACTCGCGAGAGTACAAATTGAATCAGACTCCTCAACTCTTTGCCACAGAGAAAGCCAAGCAAGGGTGCCCTTACGTATTCGCCTCTGGATGCTGCCCTTTCTTCACATTCGCGATCCACTGATCCAGTTCCTTTGCGGAGTCCTTCGTCGATTTGGGACGTCGTGTTTCGCCTACGACATGGCTCGACGAGGATTTAAGCCATGAGGATTTCGCCTGAGAATGCTCCGACACTCTCCCTCCCTGAGTAACCGCCGCCCCCGGCATCTGCACGAGTAGAAGAAGAAATATCTTCTCCACCAACCATTCCGTCCGCTGCCGGAGAGCTCCGACAAAGCACCCAGCCGTTTCAGATACGCGTGGAACGGCCCCTCTCTGCATCTCGTGTCGTCGCCCGCAACAGATCGAATGGCACCGTTCCACGCGTCCGTCTTCCCCCCTTCCTTTTACACCTCCTCCAAGTCATCGCTTGGCTCCTCGGGAAACCACCACCACCTGACCTTAAAGACTGCAACCTAAAAGTTCGTTGCCGATGCAGTACTCAACTCACTGGTCATCCATCGGTCAACGGGTTACGTAATTTTAAATACTCGACGCCACATTAATCATATTTTTTTATAATAATATTATTATTAAAATATATTGTCACTAAAAAATCGTAATTAAATTTTTTTTAAAATCATAAATTAGTAATAATTTTATCACTAATATTATCACAAAAAATTTAGGTATTATTATTTTTTACTAAATAAGATATCATTACGGACCTATAAACGTAACCAAACAATCCAAACTTTAAATCCAACTTATGCTCAAAAAATTCAAAAATGCGATCGACTAAAATGACAATGAAAGTAAATATGAGATAACTCATCAAATTGAACACCACATAGCAAACAATGCCTAAGTATCTATAATACCAAATGCAGCAATATAATGAGAAGTAGGTAGCTTTAAATATACCAAGTCACACTAGGAATAATAAATTGACTGTAGTCGGTTTGGGAGATTCTAAGTATCCACGATTCCAAGATTCTAAGTATCCAAGATTAATTTTTGACACATAAGAATCCAAGATTCGAAGTATCCAAGAAACAATAAGTAAATGGATAATAACAGACATAAGAATCGACTTAATCAGAGTAATCCTATCGGCTTGAGATAGATAATTAGCTTACTAAGAACTAAGTTTCTATTGAACAATTTACACACAAGAATCAGAAGCTAAAGCAGACATACGATGAGGAGAGCTCATGGTTTCTAGGTACTTAAAAGGGAATTTACCCTCATTAATATCAAGGAACTCATAAATGGAAGACTTAGTTTGCCTATTAGCATGATGAAATCTTTATATTTCCTAAGATTCATTTTTTAATTGATAAAATATTCGTAGGCATAAAAGAGATCAATGATCATTCTACATTATTTTTTATTAACTCTAAAGCAAAAAATATATATTATTAACATATGAGTAAGTCTATATTTATTCTTAAAATTAAAAGGGATAAGCTTACCATTCTCAACAACAAGATAGATTAAGAGCTGAGCCACAATAATAATATAGAGGCAGAGAGATAAGGGATTGTCCTGTTTAAAACCCCTACCTACCTTAAAAAACTTAGATGGTTTCTCATTAATCAAATAAGAAAATTTAGGAATAGAAATGCATAAATGAACACCTCAGGAAAAGCATGCAAAGCTTTGAAAATAACATTTTATAAAAGCCTATTATAGTTTTTTTCTAAATCAACTTTAATAATGATAAAAGGGTTTTTACCCTTATGAGCAACTTCCTAGGCAATTAAAATATCATCCTAAATGCTTCTGTCCAAGAGAAAAATAGATTGCTCCATGACAATTAAATCAAGTGAGAAGGGTTTGATCCTATTAACAAGGGTCTTAGTCAAAATATGATAAATAATATTACATAAGGAGGTAAATTTATAATCCAGAACAGCATTAGGATTAGGACATTTAGAGAAAACAAAAGAAAAGTTTGGACCCAAAAATAATGCAAAAATAGAAGTACAAAGGAATGATTAATGGAGTAGAATTAGAAACTATGTTGGGATATGGTTTTCAAGTTTTATAAAGGCTATTATCATGACCCAAGCTTTTATCATAACCCATAGACACCGCATCCTAAATTTTACTATACTCAAGAAGCTTGACCTGCTAAAATCTAGCCCATCACCTCTAAAGGATGTAGGCCAACACTAGTTAGAGGGAGGGGTAGAAGGGGGTTAGTTTCATAAATAAATAAAAAACTTCATAAATTTATCCATAATGTCTTTTGACTGACTAACTATAGAAGCGTTAATCTTAATAGAAAGAATCTGATTATGTCTATTTAAAGTAGTGATATTTATGATAGTAGTGAATATATCTGTCATCATAAAAAATTCACTTGGTTTTGATCAAGGCCCAACACTAATGACTAAGTTTCCTAAGGATGCCTTGACATGATTATGTAAATAGATTAACTACTTACCCTCAACCTCATTTAGATTAGATCCAAACTAGCTTCTTTAATTTCAATTGAATTAGTGCTAGCTTGAAGCTTAGATGCTTGCACATTAAGGTACCCAAAACATATGAGTTTCAATAGGACAAACACCCCCTAAGGCGCTTGACGTTACTTGAGGAACATAGATGCCTAGACTAATTAGATTGAATCACATCATTAAACTTCTTATTTTTAATCTAAATATTTTGAAATCTAAACAAATAATCCTTAAACTACTTAAGACCCATCATAAAAAATATAATCAAGAAATCTTTAAAACACACCCGAAATAGATGAGAAATAGATGAATCATCAAAAAGTTGAATCCAATAGAGATTGGCCAAAACTTGGTCTAATAAGACCAAAACTTTTGCAAGTCCCTATCAATAATTGGTCTAAGTAAATTTTAGGCCAAAAAACCCTTAGTCCAAAAGGCCAAGGAGAATAATTCTTTTGTTATATGAGTTATATGATAGCATAAATACATTGAGAATGGTTAGAAAGTACATGGACCATGTTCATAGTAGATCAAGCTAGTAGTATTGCCCCGGACGCTCCCTCAGTGGGGTGGGTGGGTGAAGCTCAACTAATATCGACACAAAGACCGAATCAACTCATCAAATTGAGAAACATCAACATATGTTTCTTACAACACAATAATATCGAATAAAGTAGAGGTCAAAAGAATATCCACTATATGAGTATCATCAAGTAAGTCGGATGGCTACACCTCTAAATCCTTAAGGATCTCCACGCCTTTCACAATGGACAGGCCACACAAAATCGATCTGATAATTTCCAATAAGAGGGTAAAAGGAAGATCTTGAAGTGGTAGGCTTAGAAATCTTATCACCAGCTCTAATTGGAATGGGGGAGCGAAGATGCATAGACTACTACCTAGGTTGTGAAGGAGGAACCATAGGAATTGAGACATTGAGGTCTATTTGTGGGTCAGCAACTATTACACCATTGATGCCCACCTTCTAAGGTAGAATTTACACTTTTCAAGAGATCAAGAATAGAATCTAAAGAATTAGATGCCACACTACCCGAGCCACCCCGAGAGGTAGCTATCCCACTACCCTAGGCACCAGGCTATCCACTGATTAATTCATTAGCAAGCAAAAGCAAGAGTCACAACTTCCAAGATATCAGAAGTAGAATAATGAGAAATCTACTTGGAGGTAGTTGTCCCACTGTCGGTTGGGAAACGATTGTCTCACTACCCAAGCCACATAGTAACCGTCCATCACGTCCTCCTTGAGGTACCATGAATCTACAAGAATAGCCATCTACGGATTCTTGAGAGCAGTGTCTCCCTCTGCCTCACATGCTTCCTCAGCAATAACTTTTAGTGACATCGCATGCTTCTCCGACATTTTCTCTTACACTAGCCTACTCGTCTCGTTGATCAACACGACGTTTTACGAATCATTATTTTTTAAACTTTAATCAAGGAACCATAGATATTCGGTTCTAACACCCTTAGACACACCCTTCCTTTGATAAAAACTATAGAGTCTTCCATTCCCAAAGAGGATTGCTCCGTAACCTACGAAGGATGAAAAAAAAAAGACATGGTAAGTGACTAAAACCATAGAACAAGATACATACTCATATTTAAAACAAACTGTCATTAGATTTTCATAAAAAAATAATCTAAAAAATTTAAATCGAACCACCTAACCAAATTCCCTAGTTAAGGGGTTGGACAAATATATTTCAATACAGACCTAGTGTATCGTTTCCTTTCTAAGGTGAAATATCTCTCGTTCACCTTGGATGACCAAGAAGAGAAGCCCGTTGGAAAAAGAGAATTTTCCGTGTCATCCGTGACCGTCACAAGGAAAATACCCGTTATAATCATCAATACGTTTGTGTCGGCCGCTACAAGAAAACACGACTTTTGTATTCTTGGTCTTTATGCTAGAAAAAAAAAGGGCTCGCACAGCACGGCGGAGTCTATACATCCATTGGCCCCTTTGCACAAACTCTTCGACTTGGGTTCCCCCTCTTTTCCTAAATCGACGAAGGACGATACCGGACGAATCCACCGGTTTCCTGCGTTCTCCGTGATGGAATTGGATCAGTGGATCGCGAAGGTGAAGAAAGGGCAGCATCTGGAGGAACACGAGCTACAACTCCTCTGCGAATACGTACGCTAGGGCACCGTTCTTTTCTTGCCTAAGCATTTTCTTGCTTCTTGTTCTCTGTTTTGTATCCTAGATCTAGGTTTGATGCGAGGTTAGGGTTTCATGATATGCCCTCATATCGTATCTTTATCTTTTTCGTTATCAATCATTCGTTTGTCTGATTTGGGTTCTTGTTGTCTGATGACTCTTTCGTTATCAATCATTCGATTGTATGATTTAGGTTCTTGTTATCCGATAGCTCTTTAAATTCCCAATATATCGCTTTCTTTTGCAAGAAAATGTTTTGTTTAATAGTGAGCGTTGCTAAAAACGAAAACCTTGAAAAATCTTGATTCTATAATGTGATAGATTGGGAAATAGGATGTAGGCATGAAGGAATGACCAGTTTGGTTGGATTACTCTAGATGCTGATGTTTCGATGTGAAACGAACAGCGTATGCATGGAGTAACAGAGCTATTCTAAATCATGCACACGTTTTGAAGGTTTTGTTAAGGTTAGTTTCCCAAGTAAACGAGTGATAGGTCTAACACATAAATGTAATGTATAATTATCTGATGACAAAATTTTTTAACTATTTACTAGCAAAATTCAAGTCATGGTTTGTAAAGTTTCATTTCTTCTGCTTGGCTGAGAGCTAAGATTGATGGGAAAATTCATGGCTTCAGATTAACTGCAGTTTCAGGGGAAGTTCATATTTACTCAACCAA